ATGTCCCCCTTCCTGTTCTTTCCAAGGTTTCATTTTAATTTAATTCTATTTTTCCTCAGATTTAAAATATAATCCTCTAGCAAGTATTAAATTTATTCCCAGTCTGCTGTAATTGAGTTGCAGAGAAACATATGGTTACCATATGACAAAGCGATATTGAAAGGAAATGCTTTGTAAGAGACACAATAGGATGTGTACTTGAGCCTAGGGAGGGCTGGTTTTGCTCTTCTGTAGGTGTGCAGCCGAGACCCAATTCTGAAAATACAAATAGTACGTTCAATTAATAGTCACAAACTGAATCACGTACTGTAGCACCATGGTTGAATCAAGCATGAAAATAATGTTCTGGAAACGTGAAAGAGGGAAAATAAATGACAATGGAAATAGAGTAAGCGGCCAAAAACCAGCGGCTGTAATCAACTGGAGGATAAAAAGAAAAAAAGAACAAAGCAAAGGAACTTCATTGGCAGTTTGCTAATGCTACACGGGTTTGGGGCTGGCAGTGAGTAAGAATTTCTCCCAGCTGGTTTCAGATACTAGTGCAGAACATTGACTTAACTTTAAGAGGCAGTTGTAAGATTGAATGTTAGCAAAGTGATCTATAACTCCTGAGTTACAAACCTGGTCTGCTAAAAAACACAGGCCTGAAACTAGGTGGGTGCAGAGCAGTTTTCATGCAAGTAACCAGCTGCATGTATGCTACTGGAGGAAACCAGGATTCTCCTGAGCTTGTCAGGAAGTTCTGGTAAACATTTTCTGCAAAGATTTCCCCTGCCCAGGTGACGTTCATACTGGTATTCCTCACGTCTGCTCCCCAAATTCTCCCTTCCTCTACTTTGGTCTACTAAAATGGGGACGTGCATGTAGGTAGTATCCCTTGTGTTTTTAGTTTTAAAAGAAGGGAACTGAGCAGCGTGTAAGATGTAACACAACTGCCACATAGACAAAACTACTTCTTCATTGTGCACTTCTTTTTGTAAACTTGTCCTTGGGTTCTGAAGACACTTGTAGTTTTGTGTAATTTTCATAACCCAGATTGCCAGCAGGACTGCTTTACTTGAGTACAATGTTTACTTAGATGGGAAGATGGAAGACGTGTTTATTCTGAGACATAATTATGAGTGGTGAAGTTTCATAAATCCATTTTCCAAATACAGTGTTTTTATGCTGTGTAATTTAGTTGAAGGGGAAAAGTGCATTATCTTTTCTGGATTTCAGTTCCTTTAATTGTCCAAAATGAGAATCTTCGTGGTGACTTTTGAGATCCTTTATGCTTCGAACTTTCAACGTGCTATTCTTTGAATACTTGAAGATATTATAATTCTAGCCCTTGCAAAGCACTTTAGGCAGTTTTCAGTGTAGACATAAAAAAAAAAAAAGTCTACATGCAAGGACACTTTTATAAAATGTTTCTCTTTTATAATAATATAATTTGAATTTTATTGTTTAAAACCAGGTTTTGTGGAAGTTTTTCTCCTGCAGTAGTAGATACTTGTTTTCATAGCTACAATTCTGTATGTATCCCAGTTGCTTCAAAGTGATGTTTATGCTTATTCAGAAAGAAAAGCACGCTCCATCCTCCTAAGCATATAACAGTCTGAGGAAACTTGACCTCCGATGTGCTAATAATATTTGTAGTTTTATGCTTTAACTGAGATAAGCATGCTGTCTGTTTCCTGAAAAGATTGCCGTATTTTGCTCTAATTTAAATCTTTGACCTGAAGTTACAACACCATGAAGATCAGCAAAGACAGTTTGGTCTGTGCCTGAAAGATACCAAAGCCATACAAAGTCGTGGTGCAGAGCTAACAGTACACCCCACCGGAGCATCGTGCCGCTAGAACAGGTTGGTTTGGCCACAGAACTTCGCTTGGTGCTGAGCCTTCGGCAATACCCGTTGCCTAGCATGGATATTTGGGTTTAGTCCTGAAAAAGAATAAATCTGATTGGGTGGGGCTGTGCTGGTGCTAGGTTCCCTTGTGTTTCTGTGTCTGGTACTCAAGTCTGAATCTCATTTTGACCAAGTGGCCAATAGGAAAATACTATTTACGCACACACAGCCCTCCCCAAAACATTAGTGTTATTAATCCAATAGATACTGGACTCAGCCATACTTTTTCTTTAAAGAAAAGTATAGAAGTGAATAGAATTTATACAGCGTTATTAGTTTTTAAGAGGTCTTTAACATGTTAAGTATTCATAGATCTCTGTACGAGAAGAGGCTGTAAATGGAGCCTTCCCTCTCGGGGAGTTACTGTAAAATCACACCCGGGTGCAGCAGGTGGAGCTGATCTAGTGGCTTTGGGGCAGGGCTGGATGCCATTTGAGAAATGCAGAAATATTTTGTGATACATTAAGTGTTTCTAGAGTTCTGTATGTTTTAGTGTAGAGGGAAATTAGAATGAAAGATATTTGTTTCTTGAACCGGACTATCCAAATGGTTTGTAGAATGCTACCTCAGCAGTTATGTATTGTATTGCTTACTCTAATTAAGGAAGGTCTGTAACAAACTCATATATTGCACAGAGACAGATTAAGCAAGGAATGAGACACTGATTCCTGAAGCATGCTGTTACAAGATGCTGCCATAACTGGGATGCTGATAAAGGGCCTTGCTCTAGAAACTGAAACACAAAGTACTGATTTTTAGTGAGATCCCAGTTCTGCATTGCTCTGAGTTAGGGCATGGCCACAGCATTGCTCCAGATAGCAGCAGCCAGTAATGGTGTAACTGGATAAACTGCATTCTGCATGTTCCTCTGTTGCTGTAGTGGGATTCATTTTAAGAAAAACTTATTAAAACAGTGAATCATAAGTGTACATAGAGTAAACTGTCTGTAGAAGGGAAAAACAGCAGATTGAGGATTCGCTGCATCTTCTAATTCGTGTCCCACTGGCTCATTACCTATGTAAAGCAACAGTCCGTGTGTAAAAGCTGCAGTGGGATGGAATCAATGTGCTACATACCAAATACAGAATCTGGATAATACAGAATTTGTTTCCACAGAAGGATACCAAAGAGAATATGAAATGGCATATAAAGAATACTTTCAGCCAAAAAATGTGTCATGGGATAAAGTGTTTTTTCCTTCCAAATGTAAATGTTTAAGCCTTCCAAATATCCCAGTAGCTCCAAAAGACCTTTGTTTCCAGTATTATGCTGCTGAATAAACACAGATTTAAACATGTCAGCCGTAAGATAAACATGCTCAGTTAGATTCTGAGGCATATCACATGGAAGTAAATTCTAAGTAGTTCTCTCAAAGTAAGTTATATCGTGTTCTATATTCATTGGGTTTTTTAATATATATTTTACAAGTCTGTAGTTTACCTATGCAGCCGATGGTTCTGAAAAATAAGAGGAAATTCATTCACTTTACATTTGCATCAGTTTTACATATACAAGAACAGATCTTGGCAGACAAAGCTAGTCAATTTAACTGTAATTTCATAATGTATGTCGATGTTGGGTAGTTATTTAATGGCCTGCTGTTTGTTTATTTGGCCAGATTTAAAGCAGTGGGGGGTGCTCGGTTTGCCCATAGCTGACATTGTATTTATAACACTGGAATCACTCCAGTCACAATGCTGGGTTTCTTTGTAAAAACCTAAACATTTGTGTTCCTCCTGTTTGTTTCATGCTTTCTGTTTGGTGGGTACCAAACAAATCCCTCAGGAGACACAGTATAGATTTGCTGATTATGCTCATACATTTAAATTATCATTACTGTCTTTCTTTCTTTACATACTTTTAAAAAGCTCCTTTAAATGAAACAAGGTGAAATCTAATGAAACAGGTAGCACATTAAAAAGTCTTTCTGCAGGAATTTTCCCTTTGTGAGCTGTTGTTGTTGTTGTGGCTCAGTAATGCCAGTTCATCAGACTGGAAGTCTTTTACGGACTGGTGTGATTTGGCACTTTCCATAGTCACATTTTGGACCTTTCAGGCTTTGAGCATGATGTTTAACGACACTGGTAGTGTTTACAGTGTTTGACTAAAAATACTCCAACACCACCATTGTGCAGCAAAATCTTCTACAAAAAGAACGTAAACTTAAGCATCTGCAGGCAGTGGGCTTCTCTTCTCCTTGCATATTCTGAGGGTTCCAGACTTTCCTTGTTGATTTTCAGTTCAAAAGAAGTCTCAAAAAATGCCAGTTTGAGAGAAAACCTTCTCAAAACCATGGCTATCTTATACATCATCTGCCTCCAGTACAGGTTTTTCTTTCATCCTTGTACTCGGATTGTGAGTGTACACCAATTTAAACAGCGCTGCTCTTGTGCAGTCAAGCAGCAGAGGGGAGGGAAAGAAGAAAAACTAGGATGCGTTTCTTTTGAGATGCAGTATTACTCGTTTCTTGGTTACAGTTCTGCCTTATCTGCTGGTGTCTGAGGTGCATGTTGGTACCAGAAAAGTTAGATTTCTTGGAGAAATTTTTCATTGATTTAGGGCTTGCCACTGTGCTTTAAAAACACGGGGAAGTATAAATCCTTGTTATATATTAGTGTTGGTGACAGCTGACTTGCAGGGTAAAATATTCTAGTTAATTGAAATGGATTAACAAATGTGTTGTCCAATATCTAAAGAAACTCAACAAAGCAACTTAAATTACATGTCTAGAACGGTAATTGATTGACAATGTATATGTGACATTCAGTTTATGACAGATCAACATAATTTGTGACTTGAGGATAAGCGTTCTTGGTGAAGTTAGCACCCAATATTGTAGCAATGTGTGCAAGGACAGGTGAATGGTAAGACCAGGTCTCAGGAATGGCACTGCAGTTGTCTGTGCCAGCAGAAGGCTTAGTAAAAGTAGAAATACAAACTAATTTCCAAAAATGTAATTGCTGCACTTAATTTCATTTTGTAGCCTGGTGATTGCTGGTTTTAAGAATCTGTAGGACTTGATCATGGTAGTAGTAAAATTATTCCTTTTGTTGTTACCTGAGCTAGACCAACTGTAATTTAACACTCAGGCTGCTGTTAACAGCAGAGAATGACGCTGTTGGAGAATGGAGCTGCTTTGAGTTCAAGCTCCCATCAGGAGCGCGTGGGCTGGACACCGCGGTGGCCGGCGCTCGATGGCTGCCTCAGGGATGGACTGGAATTTGTGCAGCGGGTAGGAGTGGTGGCAGTGGGTTTGGTTGTTTAATGCTTCTGGAATTTAGTCATGTTGTTATTGGTATTCTGCAGTATTTAGAATTTTCATAGTTTTTGCAAATAATTTGTATTTGAATTCCTGAAGTTGTGTTGATGATGTTATTTGAGGCCTTGATGCCACCAACCTGTGTGTGACTTCAGTGAATGATCTTGTGGCGTTAGCTGAGCAAAGCATACATAGAAATCACCCCCAATCTGAGCCAAAATGTAGCATCTTTGGTAAATTTAGAAGTAGCTTACACCTATGGAGGGACTCATAGTAGCATGCCTTGCTTAGCGCTCTTCATATACCGTCGTTCTTCCAGAATGCCAAGTTCAAAATGAGCAATAAATGTGAACTATTGTTCCATCTCAGAGCAGAGTAGCACATTTTCTTGGTAAGTGTGTTAGAAGCAAATTCATCTGCTTTTAGTGCCTCTGCCTTGCCAATTTTGTTTTGCTTTCTTAGTCATGGCTCTTAAGCTCAATAACTTCAAACATTTGCCTTTGAAGAGTTTTAGTATGTGGAAAACCGTGATGCAATTTTAAACAGATGAAGAATAATGTGTGTGTGTGTGTGTGTGTGTGTGTGTGTAAAATCTGTCATGGGAGAAAGGGAAGACTGTGTATTCCATCAGGATGGTCGTCCCTTTGTGATTTGAAACTATTTTTGTTTTAAACCAAAGTTCCCATAAGATTCCCTGCCTGGACTCCTGAAGGAGTTGGAAAAACTATTTCCGTCCAGAAGTAATAATAGCACAGGCTTTTGGTTTTGATCATAAACTGACATTTAAAAGTCATCTGAGGAAAGATATTTCTTGATTAAAGTCAAGTTTTGCTTAGTGCAATGGTAGCTGATCTTTCCCATCTGGTATCGCGCTACTTGATGTGAGATCTTTGCCCAGTGTCCAGTTTAGGAGATCCCTGAGGAGTTACTGACCTTCCCAAGGGACCGTTCAGTGGGTCGGGTCATTCTGCTACCCTGGTTATTGTTCGGCTTTTCTTTTCCCTGGGGGAAGCTTAGAAAGTTGCCAGTTGCACAGCCAAGCATCTGAGGTGATCACCCGGTACCCACAAAGCGTGGTTGGAGTTGTAGTTCTGTCCGGGCTATCGCAGCTTGTGCACAGCACACACCTGGTTTTTCATTTACGTGCCAGATGCCCCCATTTTACCTGGGGGATACAGATGTTACATTTTGTATGTGGAATGGGAAGGGTGGGTCGTGTGACTGCATTTCCTGGGTTTTATTCCTTAAATTGTCAGTGTGTAACATTCCTCCCCTAATCCTGGGTGCCGCAGCTTTGCGTCCTGCTTCTGCCACGCTGTTGTTTTAAGGCATCACCCTTAGGTGATGCATCCTCCTGTGGGTCTGGGCAAAGCGCTGCTTCACGCCGCTCTTATGACACCAGTTTTAGCATGTAATATCCCTGAAGAGATGTAAGTATTTGTGTTTTGGCCTTTTGTATGTTTTGGGGCTTGCTAAGATATGAGCTTTCCTGCTAAGAAGCTGGATTTCATCCCAAATCCTGTGAATTTCACACGAGATCGGATTCTCCCAGCATTCAGATGGATTGCCAAAACCCTGGCATTTATTTAAGGCACAGAATAACCGCCTGCTGTGCGTGGGACTCGCCAGCGCAGTCTCTCCCAGGTACAAGGAAGCTTTTAGACAACAGAAAATTACACACTGGGAGATTTCCTGGTACTTTTGGTTTCTGTACAACAGAATACTACCTGCTAGCTGGGGGTAAACGCAGCTACCCAGGAACTCCCAAACAAGCCATGGGTGCATTTCACAGCGGTTTGACGATTTGAACTCTTATCTAGTTCCTCTGATCTCTTTTCTCGTGTGATTCCCAAAGGTCTCAGTATGGGTGGATGAAGATAACACATGACTCAGTGTTTAGCTATGGTATACTCGGGATCTCTTGTAAATGAGGACCTTAAGAGTTGAGTTCACCAGAGAGAAGCTGATCCTAAATTTCTAGGGTTTGCAACCTGGAGCCAAAGAGAGTGCTAGGTTCTCTGAGCCCTCCAATACCACACAAAGAAGGCACATCATGAATATCAAAGACAGGGGCTATTGAGAAGGAAAGCCTGAAAAACTTGTTTTATTTTGTCACCAGAGGAGCATAACTCCACAGGGAGTAAAGCTGAAGAAAGGTCACTGTTCTGCTGGGCCGGGGACCTTAGAGCAGCCACGTTTTCACGCTGTAACTGCCGCGCACTTTGCTGCCCCTTCTGTGCCTTTGTTCCCAGGATAGATCGTGGTCTTTATCCCCATGGTAAATACAGTTCTAGATACTTTGTAGAAATTAAAACTGGCAAATTCCATGTGTTTTATGTCATTTGGCGTTCTGCACAAACCCCCTTCACTTTGTCAGAAATTCCTAAACCAGAGCAAGGTCACATCTGGTAGCAATTTCAGTCTGCCAGATGAGGCGTAATCCTGTAAAACCCAGCTCATTTTCTCCAGTGCCTTTCAAAGCCGAGCTCTCCTGCTCCTTTTCCATAAGACAAACCACTTGCTCGGTGAGCGCTGTAGAATGATTTAGGCTGACAGACTTTTCACACTTTATAAACTGCAATTTTTGGAACAGAGCTCTGTATCCAGTACATAAGAGAGGACAAGCAAGTAACAGTGGTGAAGTCTTTGTTATAACAGGCTGCATCTAGATTCTGTTTTCTTTTGCATATAACCCCAAACCATCAAAACCTTAAAAAAAAAAAAAAGTCAGAATTTTAAACAGTTAGTATTATTACTCTTAACTATCACAAATGCAAGCTAATAAAATCCATTGCAACTGGAAAGCACTAGCTCTGTGCTTTCCTTGTCATCTATGGTTTTTGTGAACTAATTTATAGCCTTTTTGAACCTCTTTATTCACAGGCCAAATATCCTGATGTTGTGGCCCTTCCAGAGGGACTGCTGGGGGATTATATCATTCTGAGGAACCCCAAACATTCTGGGTAAGCCAATACATACGTGTCTTGATTTCTGCAGATAGAGAATTGTGAAATGCATAGTGACAATCTACAGATAATCAGTCACTCTGCTTTGTGATGCCTCTAAACAAAGACATCAGATGATGTGTGTTACATTTTAGAGCTATAACCACACATTAAAAACAAGAGGAGAAAAACAAAACCACCAAAAACGTATGTACAGGCCTTGTGCATGTGGCGTTGTTAGTTAAGTCAATCGATGGTATTGCTACTGTGTGTACCCACTCTTTTAAAAAAGCTAGGTGGGAAAAAACAAAGGGTTCTAGCAGGCTTTTCATTTGCATTGTAAGAAAAAAAAATATTACTGTCTTGGTTTTGGAAGCTCATGCTACAATGAGGAGTCTAAATTCAAAGTTTAGGAATGTGGGATGCACCCTCCCTCTCACGCATCAGAAAACATGTCAGGCTCAGCTGGATTTGTTCCATCTGGGTTTTCTTCCTGCATTACACGACCAGAGCAAGGGGCAGAACAGATGCGGAAGCCAACATCCCGCTCAGTGTGACGGGCGGGCCGCTGGCAGCCGTCCTGTATGAGATAAGGCAGCATTTTCCACCCCTGGGCCTGACGGAGGAGCTTATTCCTTCTTCAGGCAAGGGCCGGTGTGGCAGCCTGTCAATTCCAGCTCATACTGTCTTCTGTGGTAGGAGGTGCAGTGATCCCAACGCACTGAAGCAAAGCCCCCTTCTTTGGTCTTCTTGCCCTTAAAGAATGGAAAGAAAATTGCAGTTACCATGTTAGTGAAAGCACCTGGAGCTGTGTTTTTCCCTGGTTGTAGAAGGATCGCTGCACTGCTGTTTATGACAATGACGCCAGCACACACACTGGATTTGTTGGGGCTCCCTGATAGACATGTTCTGGCAGCTTTGGGTTTTTGAATTGAATGGAAAAAATCCTTGGATGTTTTATGTAAGACACTGTCAGTATCATTGTCAGGAATTCTGTAAGGCCCAAGAAAAGTAACTATTTTGTATTAGAAAATCAGCTGCTTTATTTTACAGCTTCTTTTCCTGTTGACAGATGCCAAGTTCCATTACACATTCCCTCTCACCCACAATCAATAAATACAAGAATTTGAAAATCATTTCAGTGGGTTGGTAGAAAATACACTTGCATATTAATATTTGCAAAATCCCAGAACAAGCTCTGCACCGTTCTCAAAGGATTTTTAACAATGAAGTGGCAAAAGGCTGACAAACGATATTTAAAGGAAACTTTTACAGTTATGATTCAAACACTGGTGAGAAAGGGAACTTCATCCTCACACTGCCTTGTTATTGTGCCATCAGCTTTGATTAGGAAAGCCTTACTCTCAATAAAGAATAATTCTAAAAGCAGGGATTGGAACGGAATGCAAAATGTAGTAAAGTAGATGGGACATTATAAAGCAGCAAATCTACTGTGAATGTTGTTCTAGAGTAATCCCTGTGTACTTGACTAGAACAACTCTGCCCTTGCAGAAGCCAGCTGCCTAATTGTTCACTTAGTACTGTGATCTTGTCCCCGTGCAGAAGCTGGAAATAATAATTAGCCTTGCAAAGGCTTACTGTTTACCATTGTACCACAGAAACTTACCATTCATAAGAGAGAGACGAGAACCAGGGGAAAAATCCTTGAGGTTGAAAATTTGAATGTACTGGAAATGCAGTAACAACCTCTCCTTGTCAAAAGATTACTAGTTTTCCTTGGGTCAAAACATGAGTATTTCTGATTCTCAGAGACAGGTGAGTTGCATTACCTGAGGTGAATTCTGTTTTAAGAGCATGAGTCCAAAACTCCTCAATACTGTACTTTCTACTTTGAAGAAACCTTAAAGACTGTTGCCTAGTTAACACTTCACTAAATTCTCTGTGCACGTCATCCAGGTTTGAATTAATGATTGTCTGGAAGATACACATAGATGGAGAAGGGAGAACTACACCTGTTCTGGACCTTCTGACTAAAGTACCGGAGCAAGGTAACGTTGTTCAAGTCAGAGACTGTTTCTGAGCTTTCAAGCAGAATGCCCATCCCCTTTTTTTTGGCCAGCATCTCTTTAGATAAAATGGAAATACATCTTGCAGAGCCCAAGCAGGCAAACAAAGCCCAATTTAGCAAGCAGCTACGCTTCACCTCCTGTACAAGTTAAAAGGACTGACAAAGCCATGTATGTCTTTCTCCTCTAGCCAGCACGTCACCTGTTGTATCAAAAAATGCAATGCTGACAGCTACTTTCAGTAGAAGTGCAACTCTTTGAATAATGTTCATTGTTCCATTTTTCTTGCAGTCTTGGAGCAGAAGATGGCAACTATTGAAAATGCACCCGCCCACTTCCGAAGCATGCTGCGTCTGTTTGGGATTGAGACAGCTATCGAAAACCTGATCAAAGTGGTTGGCTTGGAAAAATGAACACCAGCATTACTTACAACAGGTAGCAATTTCAAAAGTAGTTTTAATTAAGATATTGTGTTACACAGTCTATATTTTTATTGAATATAAACATTAAGTTATTTTCCATTTAGAAACCATACTCATAAAACATGCTATCTGTACAATTATGGCACGTTATATATAAATTGTCATGACATGAAAATAAATACAGCCATTTAAATACAAAAATGCCAAATAAAATAGTTACATGTACAGAGTGATTTCATTATAAATTTATCTTTCTGAATCATTCATGTACCAGAGTGGTTTATCTTCTTAACATTTTCTAGATACCTGGAAAGCGTTAAAAGATCATGCACTGTCAAAATCAAGTCCATAAAAATCCATTTCATTTCACAGCTCTGTAAAATACAGTGATTTTTAACTGACAAGAGAACAGGAAGAGACTCCTAGAGCAAAGAGTTAAATAGCTTTCTCATTAAATTAGGGTGGAAGTAGACAATTTGAAGATTTCAAAGACATACTATGCTATTAAAAAAAAGGGGGTGGGTACCTGTACAAAGTAACTTTTTTTCCACAACGTAAGTGTTCAGTAGAGACAGCATTAAACTAAAGAAAGGACCATTACACTTCTGTAGAGAGATGGACGAGTTACTGCTGCTTGCTTCATTTTGATTTCCTACTTCTAGGGGAAAATTGTAATAGGCAACACATGACAAAAGCATCACGTCATACATTCATCCCTGAAGAACCAAAACAGATTAGACAGATGTCTTGTAATCTTCCTGCACTTCCAGCAGATGTACCATCAGCTCATTTGTGAACTCTCAGCATTTTTCAGGAGAGTTCCTGCTCTGCACTAGCTCTCACAACCAAACCTGTACAACTTTAAGTCATGTACTTCTTAGGTAGGGAGTAACAGTTGTTGTTCCTGGAATCAAGGGGCCCGAACCATGAACTGTGGACTCTCCAGTCACATTAAGAGCCTCCCTTTTCCAGTCCACAGCTGCTCTCCACGCAAGCAGTACAACTACCTGCTCCATTTGTAAGTTATGAGGAAGTATTTTATAGCAATGGTGAAACAGGTGGAGAAATCACAAACTGAAGTGACAGTATGTTTATAATACCATAATTTTAATAATCCACTATTTGATCAGTGAAATAGTCTCCTACTGTTCTGTCAGGTCAGGAAAAACTGACAGATGAGATTGGTTTCTGTCAGATCTACAGCTGAGCAATGCAGGAGGTTAAATTTTGATGAACAGCAACTCTCTAATAAAACATCTTGTTAGATATAAGGCAGACTAACATCAAGTTTGGAATCCAGTAGACAGGCAAAATTCGTTCCTACTTTATCCACCGACATGTTACTGGTTTAGCTAGTTTTGTGTAACCTTTAGTTTATTTCATCTTTAGCTCCTTCTTGCATGAAAATGAGACTGTTTGATCAGCACGTACGCTTCTAATTGCATATGAAATGCGTGTAAAGTTACAACATAGAAACCTGAAAAGTTTACAGCTGTGGATAGTCCTTCCCTCCTCCTCTTGCCTACCAGCTGGAGAATTTCTGGATTTAAAAACAGACCTCTCTCCCCACAGGTTGTCTTGGAAAGAAGGGGTTATCACCACTGTCCGCTACCACCAGCGCATTGCACTGCTGCAGTATCACATTTCAGTGAGAGCAACCCGGAGCCTGGCCCAGAACAGTGCGCTGTCACCTGGAAGCAGAGTACAGGAGATGCCTCACGTGGGTCACTGCCCACAGCAAAGCTCTACATTTCATATTTTGTCCTTTGAGTTGTGCCTAGATGCAGGGTTTTCTGGCTTTGCTTTTTGAATTTCAGGTAAAATTGAATGATTCAAATGTTACACTGAGATCCCAATATAATTTTTTAAAATGTTAACCCTACATTATTTTTAAAAACATTACCAGTAGGTATACACTGTATCTAGGTAGCAGCAGTTCACTGTAGCTTCATTAACATCCCTCTGCGCATTTCAGGGTGTGTAATCCCCAAGTGTTTGGGAAAAGTGTCTCTAGATCTTCTCATACTACCCTCAGTTTTTAATATATCCTCAGTCTCCAGCTCAGCATCTTCCTTAAGGATGGCTTTTACTGCAACACCTCACAAGACTTCAGCTGCACATACCACTGTTTACAAAGTTAAGCCATCATGAAACGGCTGAAGTAGTGATAGAGGCTTAGCTCCAGTAACTCATCCTGAGAAAGTGACCCCCTGCGGCTTCAGAAAAGAAAATCAGAATCTGTCACCTTTTTTCTGTGTCACTTAAAAGGAATGAGCCTGAAACCAGCTGGTCAAGTTACACAGTAAGCAGGACCTCAGTGAAATAATGCCAACATTTAACACAATCTGAAAGACCTGAAATAATCTGTAAAATTCAGAATATATTATTCTTATAGCTCAATTTAAATTAGGTAAGAGGAAGCTGTGGTTTCACCTTCAATAGCAGCATATAATGTACAGAAAATAAAAGACCGGTATGTCAGATGAGTTAAGCCCAGCTATCACATAAAATTCAAAGATGCTTACCATTAACCCTTTTCACTTAGTTTCAGAAGCTTTAGGTAGATACAAGGTGATGACACTTCTGGATCAGTCTGGTGTCCTCAATCTCATGCATTATCTTAAAAGAGTTCTGCGGTAACACAGTAGTTCCATGGATCACTAACGCTTGAGCAGCCACTTCTGTTGTATTTTCAGTGGATTTAATGCTAACGTTTTATATTAGGTTTTGTCAGAGCATTCCCTCTTCTGGAGTAGGTATGAGTGAGACTCAAAAGCACAAGCACCAAGGCAATTCTCTGGTTAGGAATGAGGCTTTCTTTCTATGTTAGTGCAATACTTCAGGAAGCCTTTAAATTCTGTGCTCTCTCAGTTCTAAGGAAGCAGACTTTTAGTATTCGTTCAATCTGTCTTCTCGTTCCAAGCTATGGCACGTTATCTGTTCCGTCATATTAAATACATTCATTAAGGTTATATAGCAAATGCGTGTTTTAGTGCTATTCCATGTCTTTGAAAAGGCATACCAATTAGAAATAATTTCTTAAGCAAAAACATTCACAGCTGAAAAATACACCGAACACAATAGAAAAAAAAAAATCACCATAACTGTATTCCACTGAAAAAGACACTGAACACAATAGAAAAAAAAAATCACCATAACTGTATTCCATTAATCTTTCACTTTCTAGTGTGTTCAAATAAAAATAACCTTAAGGAAACAGTTACACTTTATGGAGAACTAATGTGCAGTCTTCATTCTCCTTGAAGAGACTGGGCATAACAGGGTCATCTTTGGCCTGTACATTCTTCAAATAATAGTTCACGATCTTGCCGTCAAGTTTGTACTGATGAGGAATGCTTTCATATGGTTTTAGATCAAGGTCCAGGACAGAAACAGAAAAGGTGAATCTTGATTTAGATGTTAGTACCACAGGTCTTTGCTCAGAGCTGGAAAACAAAACCGTATTGTGCACCTGAGTCACTGCAGCCAACAGTTTCCATTTGAGTATCCCCAGCCCACTTGCAAAAGTGACTCTCATGTTTATCTTCTAACTTCCATGAGAGCCTAAGAAAATAAACTTCGGCTATTATAGCTTTTAGGAAACTATAGCTCCAGCTTAACCAGTCTGAAAGTGAACTTGCTGGTGCCTCTTCAGTCACCTTCCTTTCAGCTTCCACACATCTTAAGTCAAAACGTAACTCTCAGTTCCTGTGTCTGTGTATTGAGTAAGTCTAATCCGTTTCTAGGTGATATGTGTACAAAGCAATAGCCTTGGTAACTAGCAAAAGCAGAAAGAATCGCTGCAACTCCTGCTTGGGTTCAAGGTAATACAAATTTAGTCTTAGAACTTGTGTCCAAGCACACTGAAGAATGGAGGACTCCTTATTAAGTCAACAGTTGCACAAGTCATCTGCATCATGAACATTTCATTCAAGAACTGCAGGGCAAATGCAGAAAACAATGTTCACTAAAAATAACAAGGCCTTGGTAAGGCAAACTCCCCCCTGTAAGTGCAGACTAGAATATTGTGGCAAAGCCTCCTGCCTTGCAGTGAAGGATGTCACTGCTTGGTTATTGCCTTGTTTGTACTGATCTGCTTGATAAAGATTTCTGTTTTCTAATTAGGAGGTTAAAGGCAACTCATCTTGTAGAACCTCTCATATGAAGACACAAAGGCAGAAAAGTTGTCCCTAACTAAAACCATGCATATCTGCTATGAACAAGTCAATTCAAATTTCAAAAAGGGAGTAAATATACAACCTTAACCCTTGTCATCAACTTAAAACTCTTCAGAAACAGACCAGTCTTAGATGTCTTAAATCAGAACTCTACCTTATTATTATGCTCACAGCCAAAAATTTGTACACACCCCCCAAAACCCCCTACTTTTTTCGAGTTCCTTGAATTGACTGAACTGTGCAAGGACATCTTTAATTTCTAATGAGCAGAGTCATTCAAAAGCAGGTCTCTCTTACCATTCGTCTTGTAGACAGGGTGAAAGGGCAATCATGATGGAGCAGTCTTTAGCCGTCATTGCTATTCTGTACTGCTGCACCTAAGCAACATAAAATAACGGGAATTTGCTATTATATTTGTATTTTCCTTAGTAAAGCTTACTGTTCTTTAGTAAAGGCATTAGCATACTCAGTATATTACTATGGATATTTTAAGAGCTGGAAATTATCTCTGTAACAGATGGCTAGGCGGAGCAAGTGGTTTTACAGTGTCCCATATAAGAATCATGTTGATTTCCTACAACTACTTTTCTTGATGGCCAAAACAGCACCAGTTCTCACAAATTCTTCCTCTGTCTAGAAAGGAAATTACCAGCTTTATTTTTCTCTCAAGAACTGGTACTACACGTTTGGTTTTAACTGCTTCTGCTATAAAGATACACCCTGGTACAACTAAGAACTGTACAGACGTGTGACAAACCAGCAGTCTTGTTAAGGCACCATCCATTTCTGCTAGGTGTTTCTAAAATTGACAGACTAGATAAGCTTTAACAACATGCGGAGGAGAAGTACCTTGGTTAATGCAAACGCTACTGTCCCATCATCTTCAGTTGAAAGATCTAGCAGCTTCTCATAAAACGCTTCATTGTAAGGTCCATCTATCTGTAACGTACTCCTAAATAAATTTTAAAAGAAGATTTACAAGATGATTTACTGATTATCACTGAGATCGCTCTTCAGCAGCCCAGATACTGAGAACAAACAAACAGTAACACCAATAAACATGGCAACAGGTTAATACACAGAGATCTGACACCACAACCAGTCCCTATTATCCTCCTATCACTCAAGAGCTGCTGCTGCTTGGGAGCTGGGTTGGGTTTTTTTAACCATGAATCATTCTTAATCCATTGTCATCTGTGTATCAGAAGTACAACTTTTTTTGCTAAAATGGGAAATTTATAACAGTTTGCAGGAACTCTGAGAAGTCTTGCTAAAAACCATGAGGGCACACACTTATTTGACAAGGTGCTGCTCTGTCCCCAGCTTCATCATATGTGCTAACGAGGGGACAGTGTATCTGGCCTCCTTCCTTTCCCAGTTAAATACCCGAACTCCTGAAAAGCTGAATCCATAGCAGTGGGGTTTGCAGCACACAAACACCCCACAGCTGGAAGAATACATTTTCAAATTATTTGTTTAATATATAAATATACAAGTAAGCCACACTGCAAGTGATTTAAGCAGAATTTAAGGCCAACCTGTTGCCCAGAAATAACCCTTCAAGGGAGCTGAAGGAGCACAAGCAGCAACGTCTTGCACGTGAAGCCAGAGTGCCCTCGTGTGAGCAACGGCTGAACGACAGGCAACTTACAGCCCAGGAACATGAAACGCACCTAAATCAAGGCTTTACACACAGCCATTATTATTACAACTAACAAGCTTTATTTAAGAAGAAATGCAGCAGCTTGGAACGGCCAGTATTTCTTCACCAGGCAAGAAATGCCATAAGATAAAGATTCCTGTGCCTCAAGCGTGATTTGATCACTCATGATGTGGATGACAATGTCGCTTTTGCAGCTATTACCATCACCCAAGGGCAGGCTGGACAGCAGCAGACACTGGCCACTATCCGCTCACACCTTCTGTAAGCTCTTGCAGGCACCGGCTGGGTTGCCACTGAACACCAAATTCAGGGTTTGAAAGGGCAGGCTGCAGGTAGACCAATACAGACTGGAGAACGGCTATAAAAACGTCGTTGTTACTGCAGACACAGACCTAGCTCTGCAGGTGCTGAAGACGGGAGAAACCAACCACCCATTTTACTGCATCCTTCCTCAACTACACCACCTCCACTACTAAGAAACAGGGTATTTTATCTCTCTTACCCTGTTGTGAACTTCCTATAATCATTACTTAAAAATTCAGGTCAAAGTGACTGACCTCAAAACTTTTAACAACAAAACTCAGCTTTTATGTTATCTGGCATTTCAAGTTAGAAATTCAGAATAGGCAATACCCTGAGGGAAGGTTGTACACAGCCTAACAAGGGAGAACAAATGGTTGTGTCTGCACAGAGTCAGTCAGTCTTGTCTGCACACCTACTCAATCAGAACTGAAAAGAAAAGCCATCAAGTCTTACCTCTCTTCAGGAAATTCCTCTAAGTACTGTTCAACTCTACTGTACAAAGGATAGAGTCCTTCAATATCCAGCATGTCAAGCATCTGAGCCTGAAGGGTTTTATAAAGGAGACAACCCCTCGGTAAGCCAGAACTTGCCAATTTATGTTTACCTAGAAGAAAATGTATTTTCAAATCAGGCAGACAGGAGCATCGTCCTTGCTTCATTTTGCCATTACACGTGCACACAACTGAGTGCAGCAAAAACCACCTGGTATACAACTGAACAAAGTACTCAAAAAAAAAACAAACCCCAAAACCAACCACACAACCAAAAAACCCAAGACCCACACACTTCCATTGCAATCTACTCATTTAGTAGACTGTAACGGAAGAAGATAAATTCTTCATATGAGTTTTTAAGCCATCACAAATTCACTTTCAACAGAATGAACTGTTAGCAAAAAGTAATTTACCATTTTCAATATCGGGTCTTTTTAGTATAGTATAAAGAGATTTGTATTTGCTGTCATTTCTCTAAGACAGCTCCTTCTCCAACACCAACCAGGACTGAAAAAGATCCTCCTCAAAAGCAGAGTAAGAAACAAGCTGTTTGAGTAATTACAATAACTAGCATCATCTTGAATAATTAAGTTTGACAAAACTTATTCACTGAGGAATTAACATTATTTATGTTTTTCCAACTCTCACTTCCCATTCCTTTTCCCCCAGTGTTCATACCTTTCTCTTTACCAGGAAAAGAGTAGTAGAAGAAAAGAAAATAAGCTACACCCTAGCTGGTGAGGGCTGACAGGAGGAGCAGAGAGAGGCAAGAAACAGGTATACCAAGCAGCCAGACTGCATCACATACAACATAGAAATTCCCCACTCATTTGAAGTACCTGTGATGGTTACCAGCTCAAACTGGTATTTCCTTCCATTCTTCCTGTACTACCTTCTGAATTGATTTTTATCCCTGTCATTAGTACAGTGCTAGAAGTGCTCACTACAAGGTCATATAAAAACAATTATCTAGCAGTTATGCAGCTCAGAACTGATTTTCTGAATGTCACTAAGATTCTGTTTCCATTCTCACATCAGTATTAAACAGCAAACAAGAGGCAAAGATCTGAATTTTTACGTGATAGCAGTTAATTATTGACAGCGCTCAAGAAATTAGTTCTTACCATTTCTTACTAGCTCCTTATTAAAAGCACTTGCTTCACAGTAGCTTCTTCCTTGTGAAATGGGAACTGTCTTCATATCACCTGCTCTGCAGGCATCAGTACTACTTAGTAGCGTCATCGTTATGACATGGATTAGTTCTTTAATAATTGTCCTTGTACAGTGTGGCCCACTGACCAACCCGTTGGAAGGAAAAAAGAAAGGTTTTAAGTGGCGAGCAAGTTCGTTCCAGTCAGAGGCACAGTCCTGGTCATCTTTACAGCCATAAATTAGTTCCCCATTCTGCAAATGAGAAAAGAAAAAAAATTTAGGCACTTCATGAAATCCAGTTATTCGTAGTTAGTTAATCAAAGCATCAGATTTAATCTTTTAAGCAGAAAATTTAATCTTTTTAGCACAGAAAAGTGTTGTTTTAACAGTCTGCATACAAATACACACATTCCCAATCTCACAAATTTGCCCTCTTCACTTTAATCAGATACCACAAGTAACAACCTTTGAATTAGGACCAAAAAGCCCATTTTAATCAAGTGCTACTTCCTAACTTAAGCAACTTGAAGTAATCACAATAATAAAAGTGCACTGATACTTGGCACATTTTCCTATTGCTTCTTTCTGAATAATATCAACAGTGAAAAAGCACCATGTGAAACAACCTTCTTTTAAAAGCCAAATTGGAAAACAGAGGGCTATAAAAAAGGGCAGAAAAGGCGTGACAGTTAACTAATAGAAAATAGGTAAATACCTCATAGAAATACCTAATAGATAGAAAAAGCAGGACAGTTCATACAAGTTTATGCAATTCAAATAGTTGGCTTAATACTAGAAATAAATCATAAAGAATCTTATTTCCTAGAATTAATCTGAAAATCTGCATAAGCCATCAGTTCCTGCTTTATATTTTTCCTACATTAATGCCACAGAAAGGTAACTTTTTACTTCCTCAGTGAGGCATGCTGTGCATTGGGCTTGCCTGAGTGCTGTAACAGTAATTGAAAAAAATATTTGCAGCAACATGCAAAGTTCTCTATCTTCTCCCTCCTGAAGAAGCACATAAAGTTTTGAAACTCCGATCATCTTTAAAAAGCCTTTTCTATTTGTTGTTCCTTGGCAATTCTTTCAGACTAATTAGTTCTGGGAAAGCATTACTTACCTGTCCTCGCTTGAAATCTAACTAAGAATTTTCCTGTTTTCTTCTTTTGGTGGGGTGCAATATTGATGGTGCAGATTAGGCAGGTTTGAAGCAGGATCTTGACTGTTCAGATGCAGAAGTCAAATTGTTTAAAAGCCAAGACAAAAAAAAGATTTGATTGTTTACCTTAAATATTTTCAAGTTGTTCTGTGCCTCCTGTAGTAAGCTCTTCAAAGCAAAGTGCATTCTCTGTTTATTTCTAAGGGGGGAGAAAAAAAAAAAAGTAAATCTGAGAATGTTTTATCACAGCCTTTAGCTGTTTACACCCACGCCTGGGGAACTCTATGGAATCAGAACTGGGTTCCTGAAGCGAACACACTCATTAAGGTCAAGTCACAGCAAAGATAATGTGACTATTCACCATTAGAACTTCAGATGTGAGTAAACAGCACTTAGGTTTAACGTTACGTAGCAAAAGGCACTGGTATGTTAACAAGCAGCTCTGATTCCTGAAATAGGTGTATAAAGGTATGTAGCACCAGAAATATCCACCATAAAAGTCAGAAAAGCAGGCACTGATCATCCCTTCACCCTACAGTCAAAGTAATCTGAGAAAGAAATCTGTAACACAGTTTTTTTGGCAAAACACAGAATCAAGTCACACACTTCCTTACCCTGAGAAGAGATCCAACGGGCAATATTTACTCGGTCGTTTCCATTTTCCGTTTGCTACCTGTTGAAAACCCACACCACTGCTGTTAATCACTTTCTGGAATAACTGCTCTCAGTACTTTAATAGTCAGGTGTGTGGCACTGACATCCTGTCGTCAGAAGCCCTGTGACATTTAAAACCCTTTGAACGTACAAATCATGACTACCAGGGGTCCTCCTCATCATATTTAGCTCAAGTCACTCAAATTGCATTCACAGATAGGAAGCACAGAGAAAGGTCACATTAAATTACAGTAAGGCACAGTTACACAATTTCAGACACACAATGGAGGCCAGTCAAGTGAACCCCATGTGTGTCACCTGCTGTTGTAAGTTACAGAATGCCACCACGCATTTGGCGAGCTATACTTGAGAGGAAATTTTGACACTGACATTTACTCAGTCAACAGTGTTAATAGTCCGCAAAGATTAATATTGCTAAAGAGATTAATATTAATATTTCTGAGCACCTAGGGTGGAGGTAGTTA